CTTGTCTTTCTAGAAGAAAATTGTCCAATTTAATCATTAAGAAGACAAAATTAACATTTTTGAACAACTTACTGTAGCTTCAGCGTTTATACTGTACTGTAGAACAATTTCCAATTTTGTCATATCGTTGAGAATTCGGTGGGATGACGGGCTTCAGGCGGTCGTCTTTAACCCACCCGGCCTCCTCTGGATGAAAGCGGGAAATGTGGGCCCTCAAGTTGCTCGTATTGCCGCAGTACTTCAGTTCAGTGTGGCAATGTCGACAGACGGCATGCGTTTTATCAACATGTTTAGAGCTCCTGCCATGAAAACCAAAATTAATCCACACGCTTGCTTTGAACCCAGATGAAGCTGGGTGGATCGGTTGGTTGCTCGTTCCTGGTTCTTCCATTTTACACACCTGCTCTCACTCGCTCTGGCTGCCGTTACACACGCTTGCTAACTGGAACTGGGTGCGTTCGTGACGTTCAACTTACGGTATAACATTTTTTACAAAATAAAATAATGCAAAAAAAAAATGTTTTAAATAATAAAAAATCGATTTTGGAAAATTTAATAATAGATTCATACTCGTCCATAACATACTTGCGATTAATCAATAATCGATTTTTTTCACCACCCCTAATGCATATCGACCACAAAGCACTCTTCTGAAACCTAAAATGACAAATGGGACACCCTACGGTCTCATGGACTTAACGAACACGCGTACAGCCATTGTAAGTGCATATGAAGTGTGCCATTTGGGACAGGGCCTTGTGTGCGCTGTGTAAACATGATGGTTATTGTAGTTATAGACTATGGGGCCGTTTACATGACAACGTTTTCAACGTAAAAAACGTAAAAAAAAATGGATGCATTTTGGCCGTTCATTCACGCGAATTTGTGAAAACGGTGACGTCGCCATCTACTGGCCTGGCAGCATAACACAGCATTTATAGTCGTTTTCACAGATCTGTGTATGCAGGATCGTTTCGACAATGTTGTTGTCTGTACGCGAAAAATGCAAATAAAAAACTTTTCAGTTTTTAGTACATACTTGCTGTGTAAACGTACCCTAAGGCCCTGTTTACCCTTGATATTAAGATGCGTTTTGATCGATCAGATCACAAGTGGACGCCGCTAAATACAGGTGTAAACGGGGTCTAAAACATTTTGAGCTCGTCCACTTTCAACCACTTCCAGAGGCAGTTGAAAACACACTCGACCGGATTGCTTTGGTAGAGTAAACGAAGACGAAAAAATGTACCAAGCACAATGTTCTCTCACCATTCCTGATTTCTAACACACACTCACAGCGTTCGGCTGGTCTTGCGGCTGTCAGAGCAGAAACAAAAGCTGATGCTCTCCGTATGTTTTATTCTGTCGTCCCCGGGCACATTTATATGTAAATTGCGTGAGCTTATTTCGTCCATTAGATCGAATAGTCTGAAAAAAACACATTTACCCAACCATAGACCCTCCCCTCGAAGAAGTCAGGACAAAAGTGTTTGAAAGTGGACAAAAGAGACGCATTAAAACGCAGGTGTAAACGGGTATGTGTCTCCCTCGTCTACTTGTGATCTGATCGACCAAAACGCATTTCAATACCAGGTGTAAACAGAGCCTAAATGTGAGCGTGCATTTATTCATCTCACTTGCACAATAACAGATTCAGAACAGAATTAAGAAGAATAAAAACAATGAAATGCAAACTCAAAATATTACGCAAACCTGCAATAATTAAATGTAAATTATACAAATATACTTTATGCATTTAATGTCACTTTATTAACCAATGTCTCTGCTGCAAACCTTCAATGATCCAATTCAACCATACTAATAAACAAAATTGACTTTGGTTAACATCACATTTGTTTTTCATTGTTTTATTGTTTAAATAAGAGTGTTGATCTTTCTTCTCCTGGGTCCTATTCTTTTACAATCCAGAATGGCAGAAGCTGAAAGGTTTGTTTGAGCGACACCCTCTACTGTACAGATGTGAATTGGCATTTCCTTCAGCCTGAGGCTTATTCACTTCACTTTTGGGCCTCTACATTTGCCATTTTTATTTATTAAAAAACAAACAAGCAAGCCCAGCCCAGGTGAGAAAAGTATGCATTACTTTCCTTAAAAGGATTCTAAGTAACACTATATTGTAATGCATTACTTTTAAAAGTAGCTTTCCCCAAGACTGGCGCTTAACACTTCAGGTATTTACTTACTGGACCACAGTCAACGTGAAAACGATAGCTATGTTGTAAAGATAGTTCTTACTAATTATAGATAAGGTAGGCCCTACATAGCAGATGCACAGATATCTGATATAGAGCATGAACACTTTTCCTACTAGTTACCCATTGGATGGACGTTGACTGAGTCATCAAATGTCTTATAATCTCTGTTATGACAGTTCCATCATCTGTACTCAGCAGATACAGTAGCACAGTGATGCATGACGTACTGTACGCCTGATAGAGAGTGACAGAAGTACTGAACCCCCTCTTAGTCAACAGGAGATGGATTCAGGCTCAAACTTTATGGATTTAAGGAGCATTTCTACTACTACACTCATATAGTATATTTATATTTATATCATTTATATTGTATTGCAATGCAAAGCAAATCTGTATGGTTGATAGTACACTGTAAAAAAAAAATGGAAAAAGCTGTTACCTGTCCAACTACGAAATTCCATCCTAATTTTTGGATGTGGCATCATTTTGCCCTGACTTGTTTATCAAAGTACAGCAGTTATGTAATCGAGCTGTAGCCTAATTTATTCAAATTATGCAAAATTGTGATATTTCAATATTGTTCAATTCTGTTTTAAGTAGTAGCCTATACAGAAAATGCAAGCTATGAAGTTAGCCTTAGCAAGAATTCTGAAAATGTTTACATTGCCATTTCCACTATCATTATTTCCACCCCAGAATGAAAGGTGATGACTTTTATATATTCATGACGGTACAGAGATACTGTACATTTGTCCTGTGGTGCAAGTACACTGATGGACACTGTTAGTGGACAAACACAAGCAAATGAGAGTGTGAAAAGTGTTATAAGGTCCAAATGACACAAAATTGTAGGATCTATGATGCATATTGTGCTGATGCATGAAGCCAACATGGGTGTATCACATCATAATACAGTAATAACAAATTACAATAAAACCTTTTGAGAATACAAATTATGCCTCTGACTGGTGAGAATTGAAAACATCCGCACTATGGATAGTTACACTTCAGAAATTATATTTAAAATTAAACACTGCATTTACTTCATGACTTTACATGCACAAGACTGATCGGTTACAATTAAGCAAGTTATAATTCGAGCAGTTAATAACTTTTCGAATATCTCTGATTATATGGGCGTACAGTAGCGTTGAAGACACTATCCATCCCCTGATTAAAACACTGCAAAACAGACCAGACAGAACATATGTCCATACATCTCTTCAAACCTGCAGTGCACGCACTCTCCCTCAAAATATGTCATTAACGGAATGTTAATAAAGACATAAATGTCTGTGGTAATTTACCGTGTGTGCGGCTGGCAGCTCTCGGTCCTGTCAGAGAAGCATTCACGGGACACACACGCCTCACTTCACGCTGAATCCGTTCTGAAATCCACGCGTGGGAATAATAAAGCCTCGCGGTGCGGTCAGACTGGCGCAGGCAGAAGAGCTGAGATGCAGAAACTGCAGTGTCCACACACACACACACACAGCACGCGCTGTAACGTCAGCGATCAATGATTAACCCGTGTAAAACAGAGACCCATTGCGCCAAAAGCTCTGCCATGATGAATAAACGATAGCGGTCAGTGTCTTATGGTGATCATCTACTTCACACACACTGAAGGACTGTACAGTGTCCAGATCTGACCGAGGCTTAACACGACAAATGGTTAAATTAAAGAGACATGCAGGTGTGTGAACTCTGAGGTAAGTTTAAGTTAACCAAATAATGTGATTTAAGCATTAAATAGGTATATAATATCAGTAAATTAAGTGTCTGAGTAATTTATCAGTAATGCAATATGCTTTATGTTTTTACAACATGCATGTTCATTTTCGTGTACTCAGACATGACTAGGTCACCATATAACCATATAGATAGATGGATGGATGGATGGATGACTGGTTGAATAATAAAATGTTTATTTTTTATAGCACCTTTCAAGAACCCAAGGTCGCTTCACAAAATAATACAAACAGTTGACAGACAAGCAATCTGCTTATTTTAACAATCAAACAAGCAGAAAAGCAGATGGAGACCAGATAACAAATAATTAACATGAGAAGTTATAGAATCAGAGAAAACAGGAAAATGATTATATTTACTGAGCATGGTGAATAGATGAGTTTTTAGTTGAGATTTGAAGGTCTGAGGTTAGGGGTGGCACGAAGATTAGGGGGCAGCTTATTCCATAGCTTAGGGCCTATAACACTAACAGCCCTAACACCCACAGTAGAGCTTATACTGGAGTACGACAAGCAAACTGTCATTGCTAGATCTAAGGGTCCGGGCAGGAACATATGGCTGCACTAACTCAGCAAGGTATTGGGGTGCGGAGCCATGACAGGCTTTATAAACTGAGACTAAAAGTTTAAACTGGATGCGATTGACTGCAGGAAGCCAGTGAAGTTGGTAAAGGATGGGAGTGATATGTGCAGATTTGTTATTATACGTAAGGGCTCGAGCAGCAGAGTTTTGCACCATTTGAAGGCGATGTATAGATTTGGTGGGTAAGCCGCTATATAATGAGTTGCAGTATCCAATCTGGAGGTTATAAACGCGTGGAGAACAGTTTCAGCATCTCCAACGTTAAGAGAGGGGCGAATACGAACAATATTCAGCAAGTGGAAGAAGCATGATTTAACAATCAGACCAATGTGTGAGTCAAACCGTAGCGAGGAGTCGAACAAAACTCCCTGACTCCGCACAGTTTATGAGTGTGTATAAATACTTCCAATACTTGATAAAAATCACAAAACCTTAAACTTCAAAACAAGATGATGGAAGATGATATTTATTTACTAATGTGTGCATGTGCAAGTTGACGAACTCCGCAAAACAAACCAGGAACTTTTCGGTTCTATTTTATGATGTGATCTGAAAAGTGCTTCAAGCAATTGTGCAACAGTTTCAATGTTACGATTACAATCACTTATGTTTCGGTTTCAAAGCCAGAGCCTGGAGATTTGCTGGACCACCCCATACTGTCCCAAACACATTCCTCTCAGTCTTAAGGGCTTGTTCCAGGGGAAGCTCTCTTCCTGAGACGACAACCTTCTTGAGCGCCTGGATCACTGGAGCCGGAGCCTTGATGAACGGCCTCAGCCACTGCTCAGCGTGTGTTAGTGTTTCTCCCTCTCCAGAAGAGCAGTGGAGCTCCTCATCCACCAGTCCCATCTGTCTTCCACAGTCTGGATCCACCTTTATAGCCCCGCTCAGCAGTTTCAGGGCGTTCTGGCTGCCAACAATGCCAACTAGTCTTGCAGCTCCTCCCCATCCAGGGACCAAACCCATGTGCTTATGGACAAACTGGATTACACCATCAGACGTCATCAACCTGGAAGTGGAAATATAATGTTGACGTTCTATTCCGATAAGATATTAAAATTGCTTAATAAAAACATACTGTAACTTTCAGAATACAAATCTCACACTACAGTCCAAAAAGATCAAGCTAGAAAGCTAAAAAAAAAAGAAGACGACACTTTTCACCTTTCAGCATGACACTGATCTAAAACACAAAAGAACGGCTTTAGCAAAGAAAGGTGAATGTTTTGGATCGGCCCAGAGCTGAATCCTATAGAAGAAGATACAGACTCGGAGCCTGCAGCTACAGTCCCCCACCCAGAGTCCCGCATTCTCAGACCCCTCGTTTTACGAGACAGCGCCTCCTATCAAATTGGATCGGATAAACATGTGAAGAACTTAAGCCGAAACGTGAGTATCGTCAAATTTATTTAGCGAATCATACTCATTCAATTTCTTTTTTAATCAAACTACTTTATAGCTCACCGATACACCAACTTATGAATAGTCCATTTAATATTTGTAAAGATAGTTTGTAACGAAATTTGAGCCGTTAATGTATGTTTTTTCGCCTTTTTTCCCCCGAAAATATTTTGATAGCTAACGTTAGCCTTTAGCCTTGGACTTTTTGTAGACAAGCCATTGTAAAAATTTGATTAAAATTAGTTGACATTAAAGTAGACCAATTCAAGTGTGTTAATATCAAAGAATGTCATCATTAATTATATAATCAGATTTACCGTTTAACCTTTTTTTAATTACCGGACCTTTTCTCCTAAAACTATAAATTGAATTAATTAATGCCGTAGTAATTATTTTACTTTATATAATTTATGTAGACTACTTACATTAGTTCTAATAGACCAATTTTCAGTTGGTAAACATGGTGACGTTTTTATGTGGGCGGAGCTTAAGTGGTGGCAGAACGATCCCTCTGGCCGCTTCACTAACGTAAAGTCTGCAAGTTTTGTTAGCTTGTTTTTAACAATGACTGGAGAAAATCCGATTTTATCTTAATGTGCATGGTCACTCACTGTCCAGGACCACGATTGTTATTTGCAAAAGTTAATTTTAATCGGACGTAACCAGATTGGCCGACCCGTACACTCATTGAGGATCTGACAGGATTAACGTTAACGTTACCTCCGGTTGAGTGGCCTGACTTCTACACCTACCTGATAGAGAAACGTAGGGCATGTAAATCTTTAGATGCCTATAACTATGTGCTGAATGGTCATGTACAAGACTTGTGTGGTACGATCCGCAGTTCTGCCTAGCCAGCGCCGAGAAGACGACAATGTAAAGAGGGACATTACGGTGCAATTTTAATGAGGCGAGTATTTCTAGAAATAAAAAATTGCAGATAAAGCATATTAATTTTTCATTGATTCTTGCACCCAACAACACAACAAGATGACATTTAATAATAATAAGAATAATTTAAGATCCTTATTTTGTAGCCGAATCTGTGCTGGTTTGTATTTGCCGCCTCCAGTTTTCCCTTTGTTCTGCCACCAGCTAGCGCTGTGACGTAACTGTGACGTCGGCTGAAAATTGGTCTATAAAACGTAAGTATTAAAATGAATCAATATTAATTTAACTGTGATATGAAGTTGTTGCCAGCCATTTACAACTCATACAATTGCCTAATAATCAAATTTACTATGCCTTCACTATGTATTAACCAGTCTATGGTATTAACATGTGAGCTAGAATGTGTCATTTGGCCTTTTCTTTGGGTTCCTTGTTTTAATTAGACTGAAATTTGACTGTATGGGCTCTGTGGGCTGAGAAATCCAGAAATGTCATAAATGCTGCAGTTATTTTCACGGCCCATTCTGTGCCCCCATATATTTCAAACCCACAAAGTTGTCCAAATTTCAAAAACATCTCAAGGGACACTTCAACAGAGCAGTGCAACATGAAGGTAACATTTGCTTTTTGAAAGATCATAAGACTGTGTGTGACAGTGCAATCGTATACTGTTGTATTCCAGGCTACACCATACATCGATGCGGTCGCCCCTGCCGAACCCAGTAACATTATCATTTTATGATTATCCAAAGCGACTTATAAATGAGGTTTTTTTTTATGCAATTGAAGACGAAAAGTAAAGTCACTAACACAATTTTCTTCCTTTTTTCTTTACAGCAAGATGATGTTTAGGTGATCGGTAAATAAAGTACAGAATTGTTTATTATTGGTGTTTTGTCTATTCTTATTTGAGTTTTGCTTCACATTCAAAATATAAAAAAAAACAGGTTTTGTAATGTTAGCATGGTATAATGTTAATTAGACCATTATAGGTTGAACTGAAAGAAAAATTGGAATTTGAATTAAAAAAACATTGTAGCAATATAATATCACACAATATTTTTCAGAAAATAGTTCAATCTGTAATTGTATCCCTTCCATCAGTAACACAATGAGTTTTTTTGGCACATGCATTAAGCAGGGAACGCAAATATTTATTTGGATAACTTTGGTTTAAATAAAACGAGATCGTAATATTGCATCCTATTGTTTTCAATGGCATTTGGATAAGGGTGCGCCGTCTCGAAAAACGAGGGGTCTGAGAACGCAGGACCCTGCGTGGGGGACTGTAGATGCAGGCTCAGAGTCTGCAGCTTCATAATATTGGCGTTATTGCAAGAATTTTTTACTTCATCTGAATGGTATGCAACTGAAAAAATAATGATCCTGAAAAAATAGTCACACTTGTATTGTTAGTGGTCAAAAATGAGCACATTGGAAATAAATGGGAGTCGAATTTCATCTAGAGGAAACTTTTGGTACTGCGCCCAAACAAAATCTCACTGAACGCTCATTTATTTGAGATATCAACCTCAAATTTGGAAGACAACTTATTTAGATTTAGTAAAACATGTTTTGGAAAATATATTTTATATAAAAGAGTATTTTGAGCATTTTTCATAACAATAAACGTAAAATTGTATAACTCATTTCAAATTCACTTTTTTCAACATTTTTCATCTCAGAAATAATCTGCCAAGTGTTGTCTTTAAGAAAAGAGACCAAACGTGAATCTGTGCTCCAAAGCATACAAGATTTATGACTCATTTTCAGGTCTGTGCTTAAAAAGTGAATAAATTGATTATAACTATTGCATAAATATAATTTTGTACCATAAAATCCCCTAAAAATTACGGAAGGCCTGAACCGCAACGAAAGAAAAAAAAAAAAAAAAAATCGAACATATCGAGATTAAAGTCGAAACATATCGAGATTAAAGTCGAAACATTTCGAGATTAAAGTCGAAACATATCGAGATTAAAGTCGAAACATATCGAGATTAAAGTCGAAACGTTTCGAGATTAAAGTCGAAACATATCGAGATTAAAGTCGAAACATATCGAGATTAAAGTCGAAACATATCGAGATTAAAGTCGAAACATTTCGAGATTAAAGTCGAAACATCTCGAGATTAAAGTCGAAACATTTCGAGATTAAAGTCGAAACATCTCGAGATTGAAGTCGAAACATCGAGATTGAAGTCGAAACATTTCGAGATTAAAGTCGAAACATCTCGAGATTAAAGTCGAAACATATCGAGATTAAAGTCGAAACATATCGAGATTAAAGTCGAAACATATCGAGATTAAAGTCGAAACATATCGAGATTAAAGTCGAAACATCTCGAGATTAAAGTCGAAACATATCGAGATTAAAGTCGAAACATCTCGAGATTAAAGTCGAAACATCTCGAGATTAAAGTCGAAACATATCGAGATTAAAGTCGAAACATCTCGAGATTAAAGTCGAAACATATCGAGATTAAAGTCGAAACATATCGAGATTAAAGTCGAAACATTTCGAGATTAAAGTCGAAACATATCGAGATTAAAGTCGAAACGTTTCGAGATTAAAGTCGAAACGTATCGAGATTAAAGTCGAAACATATCGAGATTAAAGTCGAAACATTTCGAGATTAAAGTCGAAACATATCGAGATTAAAGTCGAAACATATCGAGATTAAAGTCGAAACATCGAGATTAAAGTCGAAACATATCGAGATTAAAGTCGAAACATATCGAGATTAAAGTCGAAACATATCGAGATTAAAGTCGAAACATCTCGAGATTAAAGTCGAAACATCTCGAGATTAAAGTCGAAACATATCGAGATTAAAGTCGAAACATATCGAGATTAAAGTCGAAACATATCGAGATTAAAGTCGAAACATTTCGAGATTAAAGTCGAAACATTTCGAGATTAAAGTCGAAACATCTCGAGATTAAAGTCGAAACATATCGAGATTAAAGTCGAAACATATCGAGATTAAAGTCGAAACATATCGAGATTAAAGTCGAAACATTTCGAGATTAAAGTCGAAACATCTCGAGATTAAAGTCGAAACATATCGAGATTAAAGTCGAAACATCGAGATTAAAGTCGAAACATCGAGATTAAAGTCGAAACATCTCGAAATGCTAGATTTTTTTTTTTTTACAGATTTTTTTTTTTTTTATGTTGCGGTTCAGGGCTTCCGTAAAAAAATACAAAATATTAAATAAAAAATATAATCAAACTAAAATATAGTATGTCCATTCATTTCAGTGAAATAAAAAAGTCATTTAGAACATTACGCGAGTGATTAATTCAGGGCGGTGTACATCTATGCAATTAGTTATTCCAAGTTTTTAAATTGACCCGTGTAAAGAATTAAATATGCACCTGAAATCACATGCAGTGGTGAGCTCTGCTCCCCCGCCCAGCGCTCTTCCCTCCACCAGAGCCATGGAGATGAGCGGCAGTCTGCCTGAAACAACAGAGTTTAGCTCGGACACACCACACTGCAGAAGTAATGCTGGTTAGACATGGATCTGCACAGTTTTCAAATGAAATGCTCATATTCTAGGCATAACACACTTTTGTGTCCAAAAACACCCACAATGCCCTTATTTAGTGCACTGTTTGAGGGAACAGCCATTTGAAGTGGAGTACCAAAACCATATAGGAATTATTGAATGCACTTTTTCAATCCACTAATGCACTGCAAAACAAATGTACAACCAATTTAAAAACCCATTATGCACTGCTGGGATTGTGCCAAACCTTTGGTGGTAAACGCTGACTCAGGTAAGCTGCATTTATATTCTAATATACTGATTTGGTCCTCAATTATTATTAATGCCTCTTATTATTATCAATATTTGTAAACTTTGTTCTTGCTGCTTAACATTTTTGTGGAAACTGATGCTTTTTTCAGGATTCTTTGATGAATAGAAAGTTCAAAAGGAGCTTTTATTTAAAATAGAAGTTTTTTTTATCACATTATAAATGTTTTACTGTCACTTTTGATCAATTTAATGCTGAAGTAAATGAGTATTCATTTCTTTTACTTTTTTGACTTACCCCAAACTCTTTAATTGTAGTGTATCATGGTTTTCACAAAAACATGAATTAATTAATCAGCATATTAGGATGATTTCTGAAGGATCATGTGACACTGAAGACTGGAGTAATGATGCTGAAAATACAGCTTTGATCACAGGAATAAATTACATTTTAAAATGAAATATCTTTCTATGTGAGTAATAATATTTCACAATAATACTGGTTTTACTGTATCTTTTATCAAATAATGTAGCCTTGATGAGCAGAATAGACTTTGTTCAAAAACATTTTAAAAAATCATAATTATTCCAAACCTTGGAATAGTATTAAATATATGCTGTGCTGAGTAGTAAAGTGTGACATTTGAATAGTGAACAGCATTGTAATAAGCTCCGCTTCACCTTTTAATTATTGTGGGATAAATAAAGTAATGTACGGTGGCTGAGAGAGCTCAACGCGCTGCAACTGAAGAAAACACATGCAAATTAAGAAAACATCTTCATTAGTTTCACAACACATGTGTGCTCCAAATACTCACAACACAACCAAATACTATTCTTTCTTTACTATTCTATTCTATTAGTTTTTCTATTTGCATGTGTTTTCTTCAGTTGCAGCGCTTTGAGCTCTCTCGGCCACCGTAGTAATGGGAGTTATTACCATAGATATCCATAATAAAGGCTAGATGTCTTTGGGCGGAGTCTCTATCGTCATCACCGGCGGCCATCTTGTCACAGGCAAGCTTTCTGGCGGGCTCTGTGGTCCCTGATGTAAGTTACCGAACACAAATACTCTTATCTCGTTGAAATCTTGACGGATTTACAAACGGTTTGGTTTCTTACAAACGTTATTGACGTGGCTATAATTCTGGATGATTATTTATTTATAACCTTATTATTCATAAGTATGCAGTGTCATAATTACATCTCTGACGTTTATAACAAACCAAACCGTTTGAAAATCGGTAGAAAATTGAGCAAGTTTTGGTTATTTAAAAAGTACATGCACCATTAAAACACAATGTTACGAGTGAGCGAGCTGCCTGTGGCAAGATGGCCGCCAGTGCGGACGTCCACCTCCATTGGCCAGCAGCGCGGACGAGACATCTAGCCTTTATTATGGATATCTATGGTTATTACAGCCACAGTTTTTAACATGCCATCTTTTAATCAAACTGCAAAAAGCTACGACATCTTTATTTTTTTTCATGATGATAACACAGAAATGTTATAACAACGTAGAAAACTACCCTTGCATAAACATGCATGTTTCAAAAAGAAGGACAGGAGATCCTTTTCCAGGTGTGGCAAAGATCCTCTACTTTCTTCAAATTTTGTTCAAAAACTGTATTTCCAGTCGTGACCCCTGGTGCCCTGACGGCCCGGACTAACCTGAGGAGTCGTGTTAGAGTGTTCTGCATGAACTCGCACATCCTCATGCCATCCTGAAAAACACAGCAAGCATTACATCAACTGGAAATCAATGTCAAATGTTTCAGTAGGCTACAGAAGTTCTTGTAAGTTTCCTCGCGGTCCACTTATAATATTAGCAAAGATAGACAAAGTTTTTTTCAATGGGACGTTTTTAGTTCTGAAAGTTACAGTATCTTCCCAGAGTCGCTGTTTGGATTTAAATAGGCAAATGCTTAAGAGTCAATGATTGGATCATCATTCTTGCAGTGATTATTATGTTTCTAGCATTTTTATATCCGCTAACTGCCGTGCGCGTGTTCACGAGAGCCTGGCGTTCCAGCGTATGACGCAGGCGTAGCGTAAGTTCCGGTGACGAACGGGGAAGTGCAGAGGATAGAGCAAAACAAAACCCCGGGCTGCGTTCCAGTCCAAAATTGTCATGCCCTTCACTCGCTAACTTCCCTCCGTCTCGTTCACTCGGATGTACGTCATTGCTTACGCTGCACGAGTGCCCACTACTGGCGGAAACTGCAATGGGCTGAATTGAAACGTCCCTTGATCACTTGGAATCAGCTATGGAGTTGATTTATTATTAGATTTTTTTTTTTCCTTTAAGAATTTGTTTAATGAAGCATCCAAAAGTATATAGGTGTGTTTGGGTTGTTTAAAAAAAATAGAATTAATATATCATAGAGTTGTTTGTGGTGCTGGTCACGGCCGCATTAACAATAGGGCTAGGCGGGGCCGAGCAAGGAGGGGGCCCGTGATTGGCTGTGGAGCAGATTGACTACTTGCCTTACCACGCCCCCCACAAATTAGCCCTGTTATTCAGTGGCGCTTTGCCGTATATTCCATGCATTATCATGGAATCATTATCATTAATATTATAGTGACCGTTCGCAAAGACCCGCCTTTTTTAGTTACTGTGTGACAAGCCAGGCGGCTTTCACAAGTCACGCACATCATGTTCTCACTCACGCAGTGAAAAATACATCGCGGGGCAAAGACTAACGTTACACTGAGTGACTATGCGCCGACAATACAAGAGAGAGCTCAGAGCAGCTTACTGTTGATATGAAACAAAGTCTCAACTTTCAAATATTGTCATTTAAGTAATTTAAACAATACCGTTTTTCAAGTTCAAGTCCACCGACGTTAATCTACTGACAGCTTTGTTGTCGGACAAAATTGCGTATTCTGCGTTATGATTGGTCAGGTCGCTTGTCAATCAAACCCCCGTGGGCAGCAGGGCATGGTGAATTGAAACGTCACGTTTTAATTTGATATACCATTCAAATATATTTATTCTATATTAACTTGTGAACGACCGACCTGCTGCTGCACGTAGGCCTATCAGATGATGGCTAGCTGCCTGCGCCTTATTAGAATATATGCAATCATTCGCTCCACTCTTCACTTCATTCTAGACTATTCTTAAAAGCTGTCACGCATTATCTTCGTCTAAGATAGCATAGATAAAAATGTCATCTTTTAAAAAAAACATGTGATAGGCATATGTCACAGTGAATAAAGACACTACATAGGCCTAATTGCTGGCCATTACAAATAAACTTGTGCAAAATAGCAGCCATTTATATACTTATTTCTGACCAGGTTACAATGTAGTCGATTACTTGTGGTGAACACTTAAAAAATTCATACTGCATGTAAAACTGTGGGAACCTTTTCTGCTTTCTAGCAAAGAATATGACCCAAAATTCACAGTAACAATATATATCATGGTTTCACAATTCTCAATATCAGTTTTAATACAACAGCAAAAACGGAATTTTCAAACTCTGTTGAAGCTTTTTTTTTTTTTTTTTGCGGGTAGTCCAATGCTTTTTAAGTAGGGGTGTAACGATACCCTCATCTCACGATTCGATACATATCACGATACTGAACTCACGATACGATATTATTGAGATACTCCAAGACATATGATAAAAAGGTTAACAAAAAATGTACTGTTGATTAAAATGCTAAATTTGATATTACATTGTGTGTGTAAATGAATAGGTTTGGACTCTGTGCTGGAAACCCAAAGCACAGGACAATAGAGACACCAGAATAATAATATTCATGATTCTGAAGCTGAAAACAGAATTATTTAAGACGAATATGCTTGCACTCTTTCAATGACTAGATATGTATGTGGCCAAATAATGTAGGCCACATACTTTACAGTTAAAGGGTTAGTTCACCCCAAAATGAAAACTCTGTCAGTAATTACTCTCCCTCATGTTGTTCCAGCCCAGTAAGACTTTCGTTCATCTTCGGGACACAAATGAAGATATTTTTGATTAAATCTGAGAGCTGGATCACTCCTCCATAGGCTTCTAAGGGATTGAAACTGGCCGGCCCAAAAGTTATGAAAGACATCGTTAAAATAGTCCGAGTGACTACAGTGGCTCAATCTTAAGTTTATCAAGAGACGAGAATACTTTTTGTGCGCAAAAAAACAAACAAAAATAACGACTTTATTCAACTCTTCATTTCCTTCTCTGTGGGCCTTGAGATTTCACGTAGTGTAACAGCGCAGCGCTTCTGTGTTGTACGTCACACACATCACACACATGACCAGCGTTGGCCAATAGTGAGCCTGCGTGTGACATACAACACAGAAGCGCTGCGCTGTTACACTACAACTATCTCGAGGCCAACAGAGAAGGAAATGAAGCCTATGGAGGAGTGATCCAGCTCTCAGATTCAATCAAAAATATCTTAATTTGTGTTCTGAAGATGAACGAAAGTCTTACGGGGTTGGAACAACATGAGGGTGAGCTGACAGAGTTTTGGGGTGAACTAACCCTTTAACATCAGACATTTGGCATTATCAGGACCCACAAATATTCCCTAATAATTGCATTATTATTATATTCAACACTATATAGTAGTTAAATGTAGTGCTGACACTAAAACTCTGTAAACTAGAATTTTTTCTTACACATTTTTTTTTTTGGGGGGTGAATTATCCACGATACATTTTTGTATTGTGATATATTGTGAAACGATATTGATACACCCCTATTTTTTAAGTATAGTAATTTTATATTTATTTTATGTAAAGTTTATTTGTTTCTAAGTTCATTAAAATTATAAATGAGTCTGAACTAGTTGATGCACGAAACCAGCACCTGGATAAAGAGGTTAACTGGCAAAAAGTATTTTATGTATTTTGAAAATACAAAAATACTCATCTTAAATGTATTTAAATACAAATTACATTTGATTTTCCCCAAAGGCTTCAAAATACAAAATACAAAATAGTATTTTGTATTTCAAATACGTATTTTAAATACATGTATCTGAAATACTGCCCATCCCTGGTATATTTGATTACTTTATACAATATAATATTATTCAGTGCTTTAAGTTTTTCAAGTAGGTCGATTTCTTATGTGCCTTTGTTCTATTGTTATTTGTGACTCTTGTCATCAGTAAGCTTGAGATTATTTTCTTAAGCTACTATTATTTTTTTGTGATATTGAAATTGGTCACAAGATCTCTCTCTCTCTCTCTCTCTCTCTCTCTCTCTCTCTCTCTCTCTCTCTCTCTCTCCTCTCTCTCTCTCTCTCTCTCTCTCTCTCTCTCTCTCTCTCTCTCTCTCTCTCTCTCTCTCTCTCTCTCTCTCTCTCTCTCTCTCTCTCTCTCTCTCTCTCTCTCTCTCTCTCTCTCTCTGGTGCTTAGATGAGATCTGTGGTGACGTCATAATCGTGTTGCATTGTGGTATATGGAGCTGCCTGAAGTGTCCATGTGAAGTAGACTCACTCTCTCTGTCAAAATCGAGGGAACGAGGGTCTGTCCATATAAACTTCCCTCGTCCACTTCGCGAAGTGGAACGCACTTCAAAATGGCGGCAGGGATTCCCCCGAGGGGAAGTGCTTAGGGAAGTTCGCAAGTGCGTGTCTAAAAGTGGACTGGAACGCAGCCCTAGTCACGAATTAGAAGTCTAAAATTAACTTACATATTCTCACCGGAGCATCCTACGCTGGAACGCCAGTCTCTCGTCAACGCGCGTACGACAGTTAGCGGAAGTTAGAGAATACAGTTTGTAAAGTTTTAAATATTAAAAAATTTCTTACACAAACGCATCGCTTCGCTTCAGAAGGCCTTTATTAACCCCCAGAGCCGTGTGGAGCACTTTTATGATGGACAGATGCACTTTTATGAGGGACAGATGCACTTTTATGAGGGACAATTATGAGGGACAGATGCACTTTTATGAGGGACAGATGCACTTTTATGAGGGACAGATGCACTTTTATGAGGGACAGATGCACTTTTATGAGGGACAGATGCACTTTTATGAGGGACAGATGCACTTTAATGATGGATAGATGCACTTTTATGAGGGACAGATGCACTTTTATGATGGACAGATGCACTTTTATGATGATATATACACTTTTATGATGATAGATGCACTTTTATGATGATAGATGCACTTTTATGATGGACAGATGCACTTTTATGATGGACAGATGCATTTTTATGAGGGATAGATGCACTTTTATGATGGACAGATGCACTTTTATGGTGGATAGATGCACTTTTATGATGGACAGATGCACTTTTATGAGGGATAGATGCACTTTTATGAGGGATAGATGCACTTTTATGAGGGATAGATGCACTTTTATGAGGGACAGATGCACTTTTATGAGGGACAGATGCACTTTTATGATGGACAGATGCACTTTTATGAGGGATAGATGCACTTTTATGATGGACAGATGCACTTTTATGGTGGATAGATGCACTTTAATGATGGACAGATGCACTTTTATGAGGGATAGATGCACTTTTATGAGGGATAGATGCACTTTTATGAGGGATAGATGCACTTTTATGAGGGATAGATGCACTTTTATGATGGACAGATGCACTTTTATGAGGGATAGATGCACTTTTATGGTGGATAGATGCACTTTTATGATGGACAGATGCACTTTTATGAGGGATAGATGCACTTTTATGAGGGACAGATGCACTTTTATGAGGGATAGTTGCACTTTTATGAGGGATAGTTGCACTTTTATGAGGGACAGATGCACTTTTATGATGGATAGATGCACTTTTATGAGGGATAGATGCACTTTTATGAGGGACAGATGCACTTTTATGAGGGACAGATGCACTTTTATGAGGGATAGATGCACTTTTATGAGGGATAGATGCACTTTTATGAGGGACAGATGCACTTTTATGAGGGACAGATGCACTTTTATGATGGACAGATGCACTTTTATGATGGACAGATGCACTTTTATGAGGGACAGATGCACTTTTATGAGGGACAGATGCACTTTTATGATGGACAGATGCACTTTTATGATGATATATACACTTTTATGATGGACAGATGCACTTTTATGAGGGACAGATGCACTTTTATGATGGACAGATGCACTTTTATGAGGGACAGATGCACTTTTATGATGGACAGATGCACTTTTATGAGGGACAGATGCACTTTTATGAGGGACAGATGCACTTTTATGATGGACAGATGCACTTTTATGATGGACAGATGCACTTTTATGATGGACAGATGCACTTTTATGAGGGACAGATGCACTTTTATGATTGACAGATGCACTTTTATGAGGGACAGATGCACTTTTATGATGGATAGATGCACTTTTATGAGGGACAGATGCACTTTTATGAGGGATAGATGCACTTTTATGAGGGATAGATGCACTTTTATGTGGGACAGATGCACTTTTATGATGGATAGATGCACTTTTATGAGGGATAGATGCACTTTTATGTGGGACAGATGCACTTTTATGAGGGATAGATGCACTTTTTTGAGGGATAGATGCACTTTTATGAGGGATAGATGCACTTTTATGATGGATAGATGCACTTTTATGAGGGACAGATGCACTTTTATGAGGGACAATTATGAGGGACAGATGCACTTTTATGAGGGACAGATGCACTTTTATGAGGGACAGATGCACTTTTATGATGGACAGATGCACTTTTATGAGGGACAGATGCACTTTTATGATGGACAGATGCACTTTTATGAGGGACAGATGCACTTTAATGATGGATAGATGCACTTTTATGAGGGATAGATGCACTTTTATGATGGACAGATGCACTTTTATGATGGACAGATGCACTTTTATGATGATATATACACTTTTATGATGATAGATGCACTTTTATGAGGGACAGATGCACTTTTATGATGGACAGATGCACTTTTATGAGGGACAGATGCACTTTAATGATGGATAGATGCACTTTTATGAGGGACAGATGCACTTTTATGATGGACAGATGCACTTTTATGATGATATATACACTTTTATGATGATAGATGCACTTTTATGATGGACAGATGCACTTTTATGATGGACAGATGCACTTTCATTAGGGATAGATGCACTTTTATGAGGGATAGATGCACTTTTATGATGGATAGATGCACTTTTATGAGGGATAGATGCACTTTTATGTGGGACAGATGCACTTTTATGAGGGATAGATGCACTTTTTTGATGATAGATGCACTTTTATGTGGGACAGATGCACTTTTATGAGGGACAATTATGAGGGACAGATGCACTTTTATGAGGGACAGATGCACTTTTATGAGGGACAGATGCACTTTTATGTGGGACAGATGCACTTTTATGATGGACAGATGCACTTTTATGATGGACAGATGCACTTTTATCATGGACATATGCACTTTTATCATGGATAGATGCACTTTTATCATGGATAGATGCACTTTTATCATGGATAGATGCACTTTTATGACGGATAGATGCACTTTTATGGACTGAAAACAGAAACAGCCATTCACTGCCATTATAAAGCTTGGAAGAGCCAGGACATTTTTTAATATAAGTCCGATTGTATTCGTTTGAAAGAAGAATGTCATATACACCTAGGATGGCTTGAGGGTGAGTAAACCCTGGGCTAATTTTCATTTTTGGGTGAACTATCCCTTTAAACATCCATGTAGGAAGACGCATCATGGCCATATTCCAGGATGACAAAGTCAAGATTCATCAGGCTCAAACTGTGAAAGAATGGTTGGTAGGGAGCATGAAGGGAGCATTGGTGATAAATGTTGTGATGTTTTTTCCATGGAGAGCTGCATCAATGTTTGGTCAAGATCTTGTGTTGTCAATGCAAGAGTCCAGCACTCTGTAAAGTCTCCTCCAGCACATCCCAAACACTTCCAGTGAATGTAAGGTCTGGACTCAGAGGTGCCAATTCATGTGTGAAAATGATTCTTCATGATCCCTCACAACCATTCTTTCACAATCTGAGCCTGCATGATGAATCTGGACATCGTCATCCTGGAATATGGCCATGATGCGTCTTCCTACATGGTGGTTTAAGAAATGAAAAGCTACACACTCCATCAGTTAGGGTTAGAAGAACTGTTGCCAAACTTATAACATGCTAGACACATAATAATCACTGCAATAATGATCCAATCATAGACTCATAGACTGATTGTTTTTGGCCAGGCAGTGTATAATGACAGTATGATCTTTAACTGATAAACTCTTCCCACCTGTGGGTTTGCTATCGCTCGGACTGCATTGAGATCAGATCCGGAGCAGAAGTTTCCAGCAGCTCCCTTCACAATGACAGCTTTCCCTTCTGTCCAGGTCTCCAGTTCATGCACTCGCTGCTCCAGCTCCAGCATCATGCAGCCTGCAGGAACACAACACACAATCAAACCCTTCAAGATAACTCATTTCAATGTCCTTTTTGCTCTATGAAGGTCACATTAAACCTGCTTTTTTTAACATGCTAACATCATTTATTTGGGCTACATTTCAGATGTATTTACTGTATGTAAAGATTTTAGTGTTTAACTCTTGTCCCAGACTGTCAATCTTAAAGTCACAATGAAATCAAAAATTGAGTTGACAAATCCTATTTTTTTAATGGAATATTGCAGTATTTATTCTAAATTATTTATTCGTGCGCATCATTATTTTTTTTAAATCATGTGCTTCGTAATCTTTAAATCAAAATAACTTCCCCTCCCTCTTGCAGAGACATCTCTTCTGTTCTCTGATGATGAGGGCGGGGCAACCTGTCACTCACATGAGATCCACCAATAGCAATCCACAACCATCCAATCAATTCCCAATCGACACTATCTTACAAAAGTAACTAACTAAAACTGTATTTGATTTCATTTGTTAAAAATGTATTCAAGACAGAGTGTTTCACAATAGAGAAGAAAAGACTATCATAACTTTTCTTTCATGCAGACTAACTTTTGTCTCAAAACCAGCCAATCTTTCTTAAAATATGAATGTTCAGAAAACAAAAACATGAATTGCTAAATGTTAAGAAGTATTATCATCTCACAATTTCACAAGAATGAGAAATAAACCAAATTTCGCCAATTTCAAATCTATTCTGTTAAAAGTGTTTTTAAGTTTGTTTTTTCATGTTTAGCAAGGAAACTGTAAGTTTGAGATGAAGTATGTGGAATGTGACGTGAAGAAAATCAAGGCAAATATAATAAAAGGACAAAGTATTTTTATTGTGCTTAATTTCCAATCAAACACTAATTTTGTCAAATTATGCAAAACGTCTACAAAATACTATTTGTATAAAATGCTATCATCACACTTTATATTAGCCTTTACTATGTACTTGCATATAAAATGTCATTTTATATGCAAGTACATAGTAAAGACACCTAAAATAAAGTGTGATGATAGCATTTTGATGATAGCAAAATGTGTACAATGTGTTGATGTTGTATTGCAAATCACTTGTGCTCCTATTGAGGTGGAAAACGGGTAAGGTTAGGAACAGGTTTGGTGGTGGTATGGGTAGGTTTAATTGTTGGGTTGGGTTGAGGGAAGGGTCAACAGTGTAATTATACATGCAGGTGTTTATTAAATATTAGTACAATGTAAAAACTGATATGTACTTTAGTAAAGTGGAACTAATGCTATTATTTGACATATTATATTATATGTATAAAAAACCTTAGCAAGTCAACTGGTTCTGCTATTTTATTCCAAAAGTTCCATTTCCACCATAAACTGTCCTCAAACTAAATTGCCCACAAATGTGTGGGGTAAACACGAGTACCTGAGAAGGCGTTCATGCGCGCTGGATTATTGACAGTGAGCACCGCGATGCCGGACTCCTGTCGCTTCTGGAGATCGATGGATCCTCCCGGGAAAGCCTGCAGCTTCTCCCTGATACTGTCAGAAGCTCCAGTCGTGTGTCCGCAGACGGTTCGGTTCTGCTGAAGGACCCTGAGACTCACAGCACTGCGGGTCTGGATCCACCGGCACCGAGCAGCGCCGCACACACTCATTATGATTATGTCGCGTAGATATATTGTTCAATTTTTAATGCATGAATTTTTCCAATTTTTTTAAAGTACTTGACCTGTTTCGAGCCGTAGGAGTAACTTTAAAAACGGTCCTGAAAGAAACAAATAATTAATGTAAACTTTCCGCTTTGATATGTACACCACCTTTTACAATTAAATTCGGAATAAAGCTGCTATATATGCACTCAAAGTGTTAATAAAAAATCACAACGAAATAAAAGCAGACTAAATACCATAGACTGTAAAAAAAAAAAAATGGCTAGAGATGTCAATGGATTTATGTCTAAACTCACTTTCTATGCGATGCTGCAATTGTCCAGAGAGGGGAGCTGTTCCCCAATACACACACTACAGCGCTGCATATAACCATTAACTTACTTTAGGTAGAATGCATGAACTGAACATCAACCCTGCTGGTGTAAATTAAATGTCATGACCCTTTCCCCCCTCCAGCCTCAAAAGAAATCGCATCACTCACTTTAATCAGACCTGACTATTTAGATAGCGCGGTGAATGTTTAGGCTATGGACGGTGGTCAATGAATGGTAGGCCTACGCTATCATTAGCTGTCTTTAAAGAGATAGTTCACCCCAAAAATTAAATCATCTTACTCCGACGGAAGTGACTTGAACCTGCCGTAGTTAACACTACTTCCCACTTCGTAAATACGAACTTCCCAGGTGGACTTGAGGTAAGTGCAGGTGCGTTCAAGTCACTTTCATCGGTGTAGGCTAACTTTCTCTTAATTAATTACACAAAAATACAGCAATGTCCTTAAACTCTAGCTACTAGAAAATGAAGAACGAATGTGCATCAGTGTGTTTTGCTTTGTATCTTTTTAATTCATTTTTGAAGCCACTGTAAATTTATTGTAACATAATGCTATCATATGTTGTGGAGGCAATTAACTTCGCGTTAAAAAGAAAAGCCTGACAATATCACTGCAATATCATTATTTTTAATTAGGCTACTGGTATTCCGCCATGTTTCTCAATGACACGCCCCCAACTCGTAAAGATCGGGGCAGAAAATCCCGAGCTTAATTCCCACTCGTATATGACATTGTGTAGGTGTTCATTTGCTTTCAACTCATAAATACGATCTTTACGACATGACTTAACGCACCATAGGATTGCAATAGCACGTGGAGGCAACGGCCTATATTTTATACCTGATTCTAACATTCTGTGCAATTCTACAGCCTGGTTGACAGTAGGCTACCGGTTAAGGAAAAGACTGAGATGCAGTTTTAATTATTTATTAGTTAATATGTATAGGTCTTTCGGGTTTTATGTTACCCGTCACAGCGGGACAGACAGGCGTCGGCGCGCGTATTTTTATCTGGCGCCAAACAGACGCTCGCGAATAGAAGTTCGTCTGAGGAGGAAAGCATAGCAACAGAGATAGGTAGACTACTGCATCATTTATCACTTCGTTTTACCCTTACATATTTTTTTAAGCCAGTGTTTTGTTTAAAAAGATAGATCTCTCCACAGATTGTCCACACAACAAGTTACACTATAAGCAGTAAAATGTCATTTCTTTATTGATTGATGTTTTGAGGAACCTCTCTAACATGAAACCATGCAGCCTCGCCAGGTATGTACATGATGCAACCACAATTATACACTATTAAAATAACGTCTAGTGAGGTTCTATTTCTATATGGTGCTTCATAACCTTTTAGGGGTTCCCGTCGTCATGGGAATTTCTGTATTAAACAGCCCATACTTTATCTCTAGAAATAAACTGAAATGACCAGTTAAACGTTAAAGTAGCCTATTTAAAATTATATAACCCCATTGAATCTTTTTTTCTAAGAGTGTAGTAGCCTACTCTTGGAGTACAAACATATGGAGCCTTAGATGACAGTGAAGTGTCATCAAGTTTCAGAAGTGAGAGGTTGACAGATATTAATCTTCCAGTCTGAGATGCCTATGTGGGGCTCCTGGCTTCCTGTTGGGAAAGATGTTTGAGTGAAGTGGAATAAATGTGGACAATGAAGAGTTGATTTGCGCCGGGGGAAGGCGATCTTTGTCCTGGCATGTTGGCTAAGGTTTTCTGACAGGATACTGCAGCTGCAAAAACATTTTTTCCTGACTTAATTCTGTAAGCGACTCAAAAGAGCAAGGTTGGAGACTAAATGTCTACACTCATTGTTGACTAGAATAGATTTTTGGATCCAGGGATGTGAGGAATTCACATTCAATGTGTAAAATGAACTGTACTTCAGACATTGTATTCAAAGTAACAGTTTTAGGGGCATATTGGGCCCTTATGGTTGTGGGAAAAGATTAAGGAGTAAAACAGGTTTAATCCTCATTGAATACATAAACTTGTGGCTAGTGTCTGCACCTTTAATCAAAAAACATTCTTCTGCTTTTATTTACAAAATCATTGGTGTTTTAGAGTTTTGTCTTGCTGTGTTTTTTCATGGTATAACAGTACTTGGAGAGAAGGGAAAATGTTCACTGCCCATTTCATACAGACTTTGCTTTGCTCAGGATCAAAATACCTCCAGGATGAATGACAATTGGTTCAAGCAAGGCTTTTAAAGTGACAGTTCACCCAAAAATGACATTTCTGTCATTAAAGGGATAGTTCACTTTGAAATTATATTTTGGTATGTTTTAGCTTACCTCAAGGGCATCCAAGATGTAGGTGTCTTTGTTTCCACAGTAGTTTCAATTTTGAACAAACCGTTCTTGTCTGTCAGTCATATAATGCAGGTCTATGGTCACCAGCTCAAAGAGCATGCACAGAGAAGTCCAAATTAAACATGATTTAATGACTCGTAAATGTAAGTACACATTGATGGCCTAAGACACGAAACGAGCGGTTTGTGTGAGAAAACGAACAGTATTTATATCGTTTTATATCGTTTTACACAGCCACGTCCAAGTGATCTGAGGGCGCGGGCGCTTCGGTCTGTGCAAGCGCCGGAAGTGACCTCTCCCGCGTGTACATCGCTCATTGTTTACACAGAGATTTCGGAAGTGTTACCTTTCACTGTGAAGATCTAAACATATATAGATATACAGGAAAGCGCAATGGAAGACGATTTCGATATATCAACAGACAACGTTGAATTTTTTTCACAACCGCGCAAGAGATCACTTCCGGCGCTTTCCGGCGCTTGCGCAGACCGAAGCGCCCGCCCCCTAAGATCACTTGGACGTGGCTGTGTTTACAAACGATATAAAACGATATAAATACTGTTCGTTTTCTCACACAAAACGCTCGTTTCGTGTCTTAGGCCATCAATGTGTACTTACATTTACGAGTCATTAAATCATGTTTAATTTGGACTTCTCTGTGCGAGCTCTTTGAGGTGGTGACCATAGACCTGCATTATATGACTGACAGACAAGAACGGTTTGACCTAAAAATATCAAAATTGAAACTACTGCGGAAACAAAGACACATACATCTTGGATGCCCTTGAGGTAAGCTAAAACATACCAAAAATTCATTTCAAAGTGAACTATCCCTTTAATTACTCTCCCTCATGCCGTTCCAAACCCGTAAGACGTTCGTTCATCTTCGAAACACAAATTAAGATCTTTTTGATGAAATCTGAGAGATTTCTGTCTATCCGTTGACAGCTAGCCTACGCAACTACCACTTTGACGCTTCAAAAAGTTCATAAAGAGATCGTAAAACGAATCCATATGACTTGAGTGGTTTAGCCCAAATTTTCAATAATGAAATCTCAGATTTCATTAAAAAGATCTTAATTTGAGTTCTGAAGATGAATGAAAGTCTTATGGGTTTCGAACGACATGACATGAGGGTAAGTAAATGACAGAATTTTCATTTTGGGTCAACTATTCATTTAATACTTACTGGTGGAGAGGAAACACAGTGATGAAACCAATTAGTATATATATATGGGGATGATTATGAGTGTCCCTGTCACTATACTGGGGCGTTAGGACCCACACAGACCACAGGGTGAGCGCCCCCTGCTGGCCTCACTAACACCTCTTCCAGAGCAACCTGGTTTTCCCAGGAGTCTCCCATCCAGGTACTGACCAGGCTCAGCCCTGCTTAGCTTCAGTGGGCAACCAGTCTTGGGCTACAGGGTTGGGCTGCATTGAGGCCAATTTGATGCAAAAAAAGAACACCTCAATTTTAACTTTGTATATGGCCATGTGTATGTGGCTCCAGGTGAGACTAAATAGGCAATGAATAAAACACATCTACATCTAGGAATGAGTGTCAATATTGTATTTATTTGTATAAATGCTCAATACACTTGGTATAATAATTAAGAAAAAGAACTGCAAAGGCATTGTCTAAATGATATGTCTCACATCAGATTAGCACTTAAACTAAGTGTAGAATCCATTTGTTTCTATAATAACGAGTCATTTTGGTTAAGGTTGGTAAAGGTATAACAAGGGATTTGATGTGAAACAGGCTTTGATATTATCAATCAGACATCAGACCTCACACACACACACACACACACACACACGAGGCCACATGTGAAGCATAGACAGAAAACAGGTCTACATTGGCAGCTATACAATATAAGAGACTGGTTTATAAAAACAGAAAACATCATTTGTGAACTTTTAAGTCACTCTGGTAGAAATAAAATGTAAACAAAAGAATGAAAAAGGCAGTTAGATTTCATGGTTACAGAAATGTACACAACATTTGAACAGTCACAGTGTTTATTTACACAGGCATTGGACTGTATCTACCGCAGATTTAGATCACGGTCTCTGTGTGAAAGGTGTGGTAGGCGAGTGTTTGTCTCTGGGTGAAGACTGTGGGTGGGGGTGAGGGAGACGAGGCAGATGAGACGGGCGAGCGGCTAGCCCAACGAGAGGGCAAACGCCTCTTTGCAGGACACACGGGTCGTGAAAAGCTCTTCTTGATAGTTACAGAGGACTCTTTGCCTTGCTGTTGAGACAAATATTTTTATGAAATATCATCGGGTTTAAATATTCCTGTCAACAGCACACTGCACCTACTCTGTGCGCTTTCATGTACAGAATATTTGTGAATGAATCTCACGAGATCTGTCAGGAGATGCCCAGGTCATGTTTCTCCCCAAAATAAATTATGCTTTGTTTGCATAAATAAAAAAAGGAGCCTATTTGAAATTATCCTCATTAATTTATTGCAGTCTATAATGCAAACTGCAGAAAAAGTATATATTGTAAAGTATACTGATAAAGTACAACTGATTTTAATTACAAATGTGTCCAGACAGGATCATTTTCATTACAGTAATGAAAACTAAAGGGAGCGAGTGCTTCATTTTTATACAGAATTTTTACACAAAATATCATTATTATTTTTCTTTCGATGCCATGGAAAGCCAAGGAAATGGCTTAACTTTTGTTTCCAGCATATGTTCTCCATTCTAGAACTAACTAAATTAAAAGAACTGATTAAATCTCTCTGATGCTTTCTGAGTCATAATCTGACAATCATTTCCAGCAATTCTGTGTAATGTACAAAAGCGGTCCGTGCAGAGGAATACTGGCCATGGTACATATTTCTGTAATTGCACCACATACCTTTGCCTCCTATAAAAACAGTTAATTGAGGTTGTCTAAAGAGCTAGACATGAAAGATGTAAATTAAACTTGGTGCCACTAATTCTTTCCACTTAAAGCCTTCAAGCAAATGCACGATTTCAACAATAAGAAGCTTCAGGGCTTCTCGCTTTGAGCAATCTGCCAATATTTTCTGACAGAAATTCAACTTAAGGAATTTTAATTGTGCTGCTTTGATGGTTTTGTGGGAAGGAGGTATTTTAACAATAAATTCTAAATAGACTATTTCCAGACATGAGAAAAGACTTTCGGTTGTAGATTTAGAGGGAATTTTTCTAAGCAATGTCTAATATATTTACTGTTATTTATTGATGAAAACATATTCTGATAAAACAGATTTACCAATTACTGTGTGAATCACTGTACAGCACCCAAAGAAACCACCTTTTAACCTTAGTTGACTTCAGAAATAAGTAAGGGATAATCCACAGCTAGCCATGCATTAAAGCAGCACTAAGTAGGAATTCCGTTTTTGTCAAACAGCGACCCCTAGAGTCGCTGTGGAGCACTTGTACTGTCGTGAATAGCACTCACGCAGAGATGGCTCGCACTCACGGCCGGATCCCCTCCCCCTGTACACCGGTACCTGTTCAGTAGGATGGACGCTGTAACGAGTGGAAATAAGGTATGGCCCCTTTAAGAGCTGCGCGCGCCCTGTGCCTCGAACACCACATGTATACGGCGCCGGGTTATTTCTGTTTGATGCTCATTTTATCAGATCTGTTTTTTGCCATAAAGCAATTCGTTACCTCGCGAGACCTGATATCACAGGATACTTCCTAACACTGAGGCCGGCGGCCCAAAGTTGCAAGGGTGGTTTTGCGGCCCACAGGCACCAGGGGGGTGTGAGACGACCACCATTCAACACGAAATCAGTAATATAAACATTACAATGACTCCAAAGCTGTTCGGTTAAGGTAAAAAAGTTACTTAGTTCACCTTTAAACAATTTTAATGCACGACGTGGAAGCAAAGATCCGCCTGTGGATTATCCCGATAATACCATGGTCAACTTAAAGCTGTTATTGATGTTTGCAGCGCAATATTTGACCTTTAATATAGAACAGTGATTAAACTGACTTGGAACTTACCTGTGCATTAAATGTTTTTTATTGCACACCTTCCAGCCAATCAGAATCGACTATTCAGTCAGACCATGGTATAAAATGTTTAATAAAAATTTGTGTCCTTAATATTTTTATTATACTGTATCTATTTTTCTTACCTGTATGCTATGGCTGAAGTTGTTGCCGTGTCTATATTCACAACAGGCTTTCAGACCTAAATGCATTTAAATATGGAACAAAGTGACTTCTTTCCTTGAAAAACTACAACTTAATACACTATAATCATCTACACTTGCACCTCATACACTTCTCCGGCTGAGTTATTTACCATGTGTTTGAATGTGTGGAGCTCGGGTGAAAGTGTGTGCTTTTGTGGTTTGAATGGTGTGTGTCTATGTGTGGGAGTGTGTGCAGTACTGACCTGCACTGTTACATGTGTCTCTTTGTGGGCTATGACCTGGTGGTGCGGTGTGTGCGTTAGTCTCTGACTGGATCTGGGCTCATGTTGCATATCCAACATTTCCAAGAGGTCCATGAGGTCTTCTTCCTTCCCTGGACTGGGCTGTGACTGCTTCTGCTCCTGAGATCTCTCCAAATCCTCGTAACATTTGAGAATCCTCTCAACAGCTCCATAGTTGGACCTAGACTCCATTGGACGAGGATAGGCTGCTAATGTCGAGGGCTTCCATGGATTTTCTTCTAAAATCCGAGATCTGGTGCTACACATGTCCTTTTTGGCCTGTTTGGATTTTTTGACTGCTTGATGTTGATCTGTACTAACATCCACAACTTTGCTGCACCTTTCCATCTGAATTTGCTGCTGTGGTGGACTTACGCTAATTTCAAAGCATGTTTCTCCAACACTTGGGCCAAGTTGGTCAACTGAAGTTGGTGTGGTGTGTTCAGTCTGGAAAGGTTTAACTTCAACGTCTTTTTGTAGAATACATTCCTGCTTTGGAGATGAAGACTTAGAGACAAGGTCCTTTGTTTCCTTCGTTCTTCCCTCCTCCTTCGGCACAAGATCCGAGAGCACAACCTTTAAATTGTCTTCAACATACATTGATGGGCTCTCTGTAAATGTGTCCTTAGATATGACCTCTGGTAGACTTGAGGACATTTCTATGAATGTTTCTACTGATTGTTCTCCATCACACCGAAGACCCATTCCTGCCTGGAAGAGTGTACGGTTTAACTCTGCAGTTTTCTGCTCAAGTCTCTCATTTCTGGGAGTAGCTGTAGCGCCGGGATATGGCGAAATTAAGTCTATTGATGCAACAGAATCTGTAGGCATGTTCATGGGATGAGATGCACTCTTGAGATCGTTTTTGCACACAGCATCTGTTTGGTTTAGACTGCAATCAGTGGCTTCAGCTGCAATGTCAATGTTGGAAAGACATCTTTTAACAGGTACATGTCTGGATGAGTTGTTGCTGGCGAATCTACTTCCATCACAGGACCAGCGGCTCTGGCAGCAACTGATATTGCACTTGGAATCAACAGGATCGCTGCAGGAAACATTCCCAGAGTCGGTCAGAATTTTCCCCTCGTTTTCTTGAAGCATTGCCTCAAATTTTCGTACAATTGCGGGGCTGGTGTACTTTCTCTCAGGATGGGTTCCTGGCCGTTGACACAATTCCTCTGTACCACTGGACTCTAATTCTGAAGCTGAAGGACTGCTAATGTACCAAGATGTACTACGGGCTGGTATGGGAGGGGCTTGTTGTCTTATGTTGTCTGGTGGCTTCGCATCCCTTTGCTGTGATTCCACGTTACAACTTTCCCAGCTCATCCAGTATTGCTCATCAAGGGATTTAAGGTCTTCACTCATGTTTTTCAAGTACAAAACTGTATCCTCCATTTCCAAATTATCCTTTACCCTCTCCACCAACTCAGCCCTTCTTGGAAAAACCATTGACTCACTGCGGCTTCTAAGAAGGGAAACCAAACAAAGTGAGATCATTATGAAGCAAAGATCAGATTCATTTGTGATGCATGCAGCACCTGTGCATAATGAGGTGTACCTCTTAATATCAGGCAGCTTCCTCATTTCATCCTGGTAGCTACAGAGTTCTTCACTCACACGGGCAATTTCTTTAAGTGCCTACAAGTTGTTAATGAATAAGAGGAATAATAAGAGCAAACCTTAGACCTCAGACCACACAATATAACATTGCAAACACAGCAGCATCCTAACATGGAATACAATTAAATATAAGTAAATGTACAGTAAATTTACGATTTGTTTTGTGTTTCTAATAAGGAATAGTTCAGGAGGATTAGCATGAAAGTAATGCAATCGAGTAATTGAAACACCTGAGAGATTAGATTGAGATTATAGCGTTATGAACAACAGTCTCACCGCATTAAGGGCAGTATTGTTCTTCTTTTTGTCACTTCCACATGTTATTTCCATGCTCTGAAATCGTTTGAAAGGGTTAAGGAGGTCGTCTTGTCCAACGAAGCAGGACTTGTTCTCCATTTTCAATTTTAAACAGGTTTCCAGGATTTCTTCCAGCTCTGCAGTGTCTATAGCCTTTTGTTCACCAGTACTTTGCTGATTTAATAGTTTGCTTTGATCGCTGCACTGGTCACTGGATTCACTGGTGATGTGACTGAGTTGACTTGTTTGGGAGTCGATGCTTGCATTGCTTTGCTGGGTTAGAGCCTCAGAATATTCATTGCTCTGGGCATCTGAGGGATAGGTTACTTCACTTGACAAAGTGCTGACAGAACATGAGCTGATCCTTAGTGCATTTTGTCCATCAGTAATTGGTCTGAGAGAACATCCTGTGCGGTGAGCCTTCACTTCATTGTACAACTGGAAAAGACAAAACAATTGTGCATGTAGTCCTTGGTACATCTTCTAATACCCAAACATTTGCCCCTTGCCAGTTTAAATATATTATGCCAGACCTCCACAAGAAACCCAGCCATGCCCTTTCCTCTACATTAGGGATGGGCAACGTCGGTCTTGGAGTGCCGCTGTCCTGCAGAGTTTAGCTCCAAACCTAATCAATCACAGCTGATCAATGTTTTCAAGATTATAAGGCTACTACCGACAGGTGAGGTTTTTTTTTAGGGTTGGAGCTAAACTCTGCAGGACAGCGGCCCTCCAGGACCAACATTGGTTCCACACCATATCAGTAGAGAAGGGGTCTCCAATCCTGCTCCTGGAGGGCCAACGTCCTTCCTACATTTAGCTCCAACACAATTGCCTGGAAGTTTCTAGTTACTCTGAAGACCTTGATTAGCAAGTTCAGGTGTGTTTAACTACTTTTAGAACTAAACTCTGCCCATCCAGGACCAGGTTTTGACACTCCTGTAGTAAAGCATAGTGCTCACAATGCCAAGATTGTGGGTTTGATTCCCAGAGAATGCATGAACTGATAAAATTCCTTGAATATGGTGCTTTGGATAAAAGTGTCTGCCAAATGCATATGTATCCACATACCAAAAATCTAAGTCATGGTTCAGACTAAAGCACGATCCCACAAATCCAGCCATGGAAGGCCATTGCCCTGCAGAGTTTAGCTCCAGCCTTAATAAAAGACACCTGAGCATAGGGGTGGGCGATATGACCAAAATCTTATATTAGATTATTAATAATTTTATTCACAATACTGACATATCAAGATATAGTTATTTTGGCTTTAAATAAAATTTTACGATATACATGTTTTATTGAAATTTCATAAATCTCATCAACACTTTCAAAATCACATAAAAAACTAACACTAGCCTTACTAATATAAGTTTACAAAAAAAAAAAAAGTGAAAAAAAGCTCACTGAATACAAGTAAACAGTTATAAAATAGGAACAAAGAAAATAGTTACAAGCAATAGGACACAAAACTACAACAAAGACACAAATGAAATAGACATACCTGAAAACCTTAAGCACTATAAAAAAAAATACAATAGAACAAAGCAGGTTTATTAGGCTGTTGTCACTTTAGGAGTGATCTAATATACTGATGATACACATGTGCTTTCTTTCTCAACCATTTACGTTCACTTCAGACATAAAAGACTTTGTCTATGAGGATATTCGCAAAGACTGGCATTTTGACATACAAGTGTGTGTATTTGACTGTTCAGTAAGGCGCTAAAAATAACAGTTCAGTCCTCACGCGCTATATAAGCAGAGGCTGTATGAGCAGTGGCTTTATGTGCGCGTTCAAGAACAGCCTCTTAGACAGTGTGCGCATATAACAAAACGAGTCCTCTTTTGCTGCTTGTTGTGCTTGTTTTTAAACCATAAAGCTTACAAACCCATTCAACGATAAGCTTTCGAGATGGCACAGAAGGGCAACATCACGTGAGCATAACTGCGATAGAGACGAGAGTCCAAAATCTCTACCGGTTGACACATTTCTACTGGTTGATTGTGTCACTGGTATATCGCCCACCCCTACCTGAGCAAGCTAATAAAAGTCTTCAGAGTTATTAAAATTACACATAGGTGGTTTGATCAGTGTTTGATCTAAACTTGGTCTAAAGCTAAGAATTTTAGTCAGCCTCTATGGGACTACATTTTGACAGACCTATTGAACCTAGGACGTGCTACTCAACTGGTAGAGCACAGAACGCTTGCAACACCTAGGTTGTGGGTTTAATTCTGAAGGATCGCTCATTATCAGTAAGATGCATAGCTTGAACGCACTTTGGATGAAGCATCTGCCAAATGCACCGATGCAGTTTCTCTACCTCTAGTTTGGAGCTCTAAGCTTAAGTCTGATGAATGCCTGAGCTAAGCTGAGCTAAACTTCCTTTGGCAGTCGCTTGAAATTCCAAGTTTTATATAATGTGACTTCATCGCTTCCAATTTTAGGTGTTACCATTATCCATCGAGGCTTACTGGCAGAGCTTTCATTTAGCATGGAAGTAAACAGAAGCGCTTAGGGAATCATTTAATTTGAAACCAGATATGGTTCTCTCTGCTGAGATGTGGGGAGTGGCGCACATCCGCAGACTCACCTCCTCAATCTTCCGCTGCATGTCCATGAGCTGGTTCTCCCACTCCTTCCTCTCAGCCTCAAAGCGTTCCAGCAGCTCAGATTTTTCCTTCACCCAGCCCTTCTCGCTGCTGTCCAGCCTGCAGCGGAGGTCCATCGCTGCGCTGTGAGTGTCTGCCAGAAGCCTCTTTTGTTCCGCTCTTTCCCGCTTCAGAGTGTCCCCTAGTTCATTACTCCTCACAGTCTCCCCCAACAAGCCACATCCCCGCGCTTCTAGCTGTGGGGGGAAGAGAGGCAGGGATTTGCTGACCACCAAAGAGGAAATGGGTGTATGGGACAGTTGTACAAAGAAAACAAAACATCAGGAAGAATCATGAGGAGTGTAGTTGGCAACAGGATGAAATGGACCTTGTGTCCTGACCAAGGCCTTATTGGATGCCCAGCCTAAGCCTACAGACAAAAACAGCTCAGACTAGTGCTGCGAGTTTTGCATGTAATGGAGAGGCCACATTGGTATGCTGACCCCCCGATGATCCTGGAGAGAGCGCACTAGACAGCAAACACTAAAACCATATTTATCACAGAGCTTGATTGAACTCTGCAGCTGATGGAAGCTATTGATGTCATCTACATGAGTTATAACACATAATTATGCCAGTTGAGACTTCTATACACTCCTGTTCAAAAGGTAAGATTTTTTTTGAATGCATTCAAATTGATCAATGGTGACAAGAGACTTCTATTTAAAATAAATGCTGTTCTTTTGAACTTTGTATTTATCAAAGAACCCTGAAGAAACCTTGGTAAGCATATAGACTTTTGTCCAGAACATAAAAAAACGGATATACCCCAAACTACAGTCTTTCTGAACATATGATGATGCCACTATTCTCCTACGGCCAACAAAATCAGACTGGCCGATCAACAGAACCGACAGCTCCCCAATTGTCAATAGCTATGTTTCCATCCACCTATTTTTATGTGCATTTTGGGATATTGTGTAAAAAAAAACTGCTGGATGGAAATGTCAAGATGCACATATTCGACGCTATTGCGTTTCGTTTGTGCTCTTAAGACGCAAGTAATTTATTATATCGGAGTGTCTATTTACACTAAGTGCAAATAACCCGCCTTGTTGGCGAGGATTTTTACACTAACTCCGCCCACTGACCTCTGGTTGGGCCAAACAAAATTACAGAAAAATTAGTATTGTTATCAACAGTAGCAATAGTATAGGGGTAAGGCACGTAGCAAAATGTTTTTGACGCAAATAGAGTTTGAATGCCCAAATAGCTCTAGTCCCTTTCCCCGTCACATACAATATCAGACCGGAAAAAGTCAATAAAAATGAGGAAAATATTTGAAAAGTGGAAATAAAGTGTCTAATGTGTGTTAAAATAATAAAGTGTTTATTGGTTAGGGGTAGGGAGGGCTTTATTGTCCCAATAAGGTGGCATCCATTTAATAATTTTAATATTTATATAATAATTTACACTCTATGTTATTACTGCATACCCTATAATATACAACAAGACTGAGGTGCAAATAGTATTTGCCACTATTTATAAATATAAATAGCCTCTAACTTACACTTATTGCAAAGAAAATACTGCTTTTTTATATAGTATACTATAAATAGAATCTATTGCTATTTTTCATATCGCTAAGAAAATCCTGCTATTTCACTTAAAGTAAATAGAATCTAGTTGCTTAGTGCAAATGGCCGCTGCCTTATTCTAAACAAAAATTGTTATATACAGTGGCTTCTCCTACTTTTTTAGTTTGTCAGGAAGTGAGGATTTTGTTGTCTTCGACTCATTGGATGGAAAGCCTGCTTTATTCACAAATGTTTTATGCAATATTCCAATTTTGCGCATAAGCCAAATTCGCAACTTTGGATGGAAACAGCTAATGAATATTAAATTCTTAATAATCTAGCTGACAACTCAGCTGTGAAGTCAAGTCTTGATTGGACTAAACCTGCATGCTCCACCATCAGGGCAACCGCAAAGACAAAAATAGGTGAATCTTATTTATGGTTCATATAGCAACGGTCCAGAGCAAAGCAGTGTTTGTACAAACAGTGCGCTCCTATAGCACTAAAATGTGCTGGCACACTGTCCTTAACCCTATGAGTTCTCCTGGGTGCACTAACAGCATGTGTTTACAAGCCGAGGGCATGTGAGATACTGATGGGACATGTAACCAGAGTTGAGAGTGCAAGGGTGCTGCTAGTTTTAAGACTAAAATATAATTACCCTGGTTGCAGTGCACTGTCTGTGTCTGTGTAACAATGTCACAAAAACAGCTCTCTATTAATAGACGGCAAGACCAATCCTTTAGCATCTCACATTCCTAAGGATGGGGCCTTGGAGCAACTCATCTCTGTTTTAAAGATCAAAAATATGCTCAGAAATATGCTGGCGAATACCCCGCTGTGAAAGCCTAGTGGTAAACCGAAGAAATCCACTGGGACAAAAGTATGTGCTGCGGTGGGATGTGGACTGCAAAGAAAACAACTTTTTTTTACGGTTCACTTCGACCCCTCCCTGAATTCTGTTCTCTGCACCAACCAATACTTTGGGTGGATTGTTGTGGCTAAACCCAAATCGCTTTCTGAATTTAAACAAGTGCAAATGCGGTCAAGCGACACATGAGTCCATAGTTTCACAATGTAAAACCTCAAATCATCAGTACAAGACCACTACACATTATTAGGTCATTCTTTTGTATATTTTTGCAGTAGTTGGAGCACAGCATTGAGTCTTGAGTCTCCTGAGGTGTAGTCCGTCACAAGATATGCCTTCACACAACAATCCAAAGCTCCTCTCCTATTCATCTCAACAATGCCGACTGTGCTACTGTATTAGGAGTTTCTCTGAGTCACTAACTCACTATTACAATAAAGTATAAAGCCTTAGACTGGATTGAAATCTCTCACAATGGATAGTAAATACAAGGCGATCTGGACAGTGTATAAGGATGTCATAAACAGAAATGAAGGCATTCTATATGAGAGGGAAAATACACTAAACTAAGCACAAGATACTATTAGTTTCCACACTAGTTTGCTTTGCACATTACTCTTACATTTGCATCTGTGTCATGGCAAATTTCTTTTTCATTAATTGATGAAATATATGATGTAATACCGCAAAAGAGCTGGTCTTCTGTGGCCACTTGCACACAAAGCTGCTGTTGACAGGATATATTTGCACTTGATAGTGTTTGTGTTACATAAAGCCTGTGCAATCTCTGAGCTATGCTCAATGACAACCATTACAAAACACACAAATAATTAAAAACTTTGACATTATATGTGTGCTTCATCTATGCCAATAATCTAATATAGATTTGTTTCATTTTTAAACAACTTAAACTATCTTGTAAAACTGTTCATACACTGTAAAAAGTGGTAACCTGTAATTGTTACCTTAAAGATCTATTACTACCTGATTTAACCCGAAAAATAATAATTTTGTTGGTATGTATGTGATGTTAATTTATTTGTTTTTGCCTTAAAACAGTTAATTTGGTTGTTACCATTTTGAGGTTACTATGTTTGTTTGTTTTTCAGTAGAAGCAGTGTCACATGTTTTATTTGCTGTTATTTTATTTATTAAATAATTTATTACGCAACACAATTGGTTTGATATTTTTTGCATTTTCCTTTTTTTTCTGAATTGGTTTGTGCTTCATAATTGTTCGTTATAATGTAAAAGACATTAAATATTGTATAATACATTTTAAATGCAAGGAAATATTTAGTATCTTCGATTTTTATAAAAGGCTAGTTCTATTTCATATGGCAAAAAAATGTTATTCCTCTCAAATCAGCATTAATAAACAAAAAGTTCATATTGTGACAACTTACCCCATCTAGTGTGGCAACATGCCTCGATAGTCTGTGTTTTTTTACCCTACGGTGCAAATGCTGAATAGCTGTTTTCCACACTTTCGGTTACTTTAACAAATAAACCCACCTTTAGAAATAGACCGATTTCTGTTACAGAAATAGGGCTAACTGTATGCTATAGTAGGCTCTAAGTTTCATACCTGAGTAATGCGCCTCTTCAGCTCTGATCGCTCCACTTCCCACGCGCATCGATCCTTAATGTTCTGCAGTTCCAGCTCACCCCGTCTACTTTCCTCACGCTTCACCCCCGACTGCACCTCCTCTAAAACACACTTCAGGTCCAACAATATCCTTCTGTTTTCTCCACCCTGTAAACACAACGCAGAATAAGAGAAACGCACACTGCCGGTTGGTCAAAACCCACTGGTGTCACATGCTTGTGTTTGTAGCTACTTGAATATCGGCAACTTGTCTCAAAAGCATTTCCTTCTCCATCCTCCACTCCTCTTTCTCGTGATCGTAGCGCTTTTTTAAGTCCTCGAGTTTCTTTTTAAGGCGTGTGTGTGGACTGTGCTCGTGACTCGGGGTCTGTGCGCGAGGCGCATCGGATGATCCAGGTGGAAGCTGCTCCAGAAGGTTGCTCGGGAACGAACGAACCCGGGCGGGACTCTGGACCTTCTTACCGGGCCTCTCTAGTCGAGGACACGGGACGAACTCCCAGCCTTGCGCCTTGCTCACATACCCGCTTGATCCATTTCCAAACGCATTCCACATCTTTCAGTCACAACTAAACACGAATAACAACCTCTCTCTCTTTTTTAACTATTTGCACTGCAGTTACAGTCCCCATAAAAAAACACAAGCACACTATATTATCCGAAACCAGCCACTTGTGCCATCTCCTCCTCAGCGGCCCAGGCTGGTGTCTCTGCGCCGGGCGCATTTCTTCCTTCCATGTCAATAAAGGACGACAAGGTCAGCCTGTCATTCTCCGGAGACGCCGATTTCACATTTAAGTATACACTGTAGTATACACTATCCTCTCAACTGCATCCTTTAGGTTATTAATCTACATTATTTTGCATTAATAAAATAAGCTAGTGAACTGCAGATTGAAGTTATCCATTAGCGTACTCTGCTTCAGACTGAAAATGACACCGACAGACTCAAGAGTCAAGAGCCTAAAATACTCTGAGCTCACTGATGTAAGAGTTCACATGTATTTTTACCTCTGTAACTATGTTGTAGGGCTACCTTGTTGTCATTCAGGGTCCTTGTGCACACCGAAAGCTCAACTTTAAAGCTACCATTAAATCAAAAATGATGATTCTTATTTTTTTATGGAATACTGCAGTTTATTATAAATTATTTATTTGTGCACAATTGCACATCATTAATTTTTACATTCATGTCATTTTTAATAAAAAAAACGTCCCCTCCCTCTTACAGTGACATCTCTTCTCTGATGACTTACACGACATCGACCAATAGCAAACCACAACCATCCAATCAATTCCCCTTGGACAAAATCAAGTCCCGCCCTACATTTGTTCTTGTTTGAGAAGCAGTTTCTCTCTGATAAATATGGAAGCTTGTTTCCGCCACAGAATAAAACAATTTAAAAGATAATTGCGACTTTTTATCCCGCATTTCTGACTTTTTTCTCACAATTGCGAGTTTATATCTCGCAATTCTGACTTTATAACTCGCAATTCTGACTTTTTTTCTCACAATTCTGATTAACTCGCAATTGTGAGTTATAAAGTCCAATTCTGTGGGAAAAAAATACTAACTTCTCATAACTCTGACTTTATAACATATATAAATGTGACTTAATATCACGCAATTCTGACTTTATGACGCACAATTGTAAGATTAGATCACACAATACTGAGAAAACAATAGGGAAGCTATTGCAACTTCTGTTTCATGCAGACAAATATAACCACGAGAATCAAAAAAGACAGAGAACACAAACTTCAATCTCAACAGAAACAGTAATAATGTTCATTTTTAAGGTTCACAATGAGTAGAAAAGTAGAAAAACAACAGCTGCCAATTTTCACTGTTTACAGTGTACAGTAGATAGTCATTAATTATAACTGTGATCATCAACCATTAATACAAATATAAATATATATCACACACTCTTTATTTTTAAAAGGTTTCAAATGTGTTTTACAGCCTGATGCCAAAAGAGTTTGCATGGTTCTTTAGAAAATGCACTGGAGCTTCAGAGAAGGGCTTTACTTTGTCATCTGATAGAAGATGATATTAGGAAGCAGGACACTCATCACATATAATAATGTAACATCAAGAACTTTTTAATCTCCAAAGACCCAAATGGCCAACTGGGGGTTGCTGAGAGAACTGGTAAAATGATTCTCAGTGAGAATATGCATGCTGCAAAGAAGCACTGACAATTCTTGATTTTAACTAATGTACGATGCTCAAATGTTTTAACATGTTTTACAGTCCACAAAATGAAAGCTTTCATATTCTGTATAAATATTCAGATAATCAGGACCAGGGCTTGACATTAACTTTTTCGCTCACCAGTCACTGTGGCTAGTGGTTTTAAAAAGTTACTAGCCACTCAGCATTTTCACTGGCCACAATTTTGCCATTGATACCATGGGGAAAACTTACCATATAGATCTTTTTAATATTATCTCATAATTTGACAGCAGGTTTATTAGGCTGCTGACACTTTAAGACACGATGCACGGATACATTACTGTTACACGTGTTTTCTTTCTCAAATGTTTACGTTCACTTCACTTAAAACTAGTGCTGTCAAACAATTAAAATATTTAATCGCGATTAATCGCATTAATGCAATAGTTAACTCTCGATTAATCGCATTAATGTAATAGTTAACTCGCGATTAATCGCATTAATGTAATAGTTAACTCTCGATTAATCGCATTAATGTAATAGTTAACTCGCGATTAATCGCAATTAATCGCACATTTTTATCTATTCTAAATGTCTCTTGATTTCTTTTTGTCCCATTATTTTTTCTCATTTTAATGCTCTTATCAACATGGAAAAGTGGATCGGCTTGCTTTGTGCAAATGTTTTTTATTGAAAACAACATTGACAATACTGTGTTCAATTTCACACTAACATTCTCACTTGGAGCAAATAATCTCTCACACAATGTAACACTGTCCATCAATAAAAGGGTGAAAGAAATACTGACGAGGTCCTGATATTGACGAGGGGGCGGAGAATTCGCATCAGCTGTGTGTGTGTGTGTGTGTGTGCTTGGCCATCATCAAGTGGTATTTCAGACTGGACGTGCTGCGATGATGATAGCTCAGTTCACAACGACAAAACACACAGATCACTTTGGTCTTGTCAATGAAACCATTTGGCAACTTTTTAAAAGTAAACTTTCCATTCAGAATCTTATTGGCACCATTTCGGCGTCTCGCGCTCGTCATCCACTCAAAACATAACGTTAACCAACTATTTGGCCGGCTCGCAAGTCCAAACAAGTGTGTGCGGCGTGCCTGTTGTTTTGTTTCCGGTCTAGCTAGATCCGCTTGCGCTTTGGTCGACGAAGCAACAAAACGTCCTCGCGCGGCGCAAGCCATTGAAATGAATGGGTTTCATAGCGCAGCGCCACTTATGCCGCGTCCTGTTGCAATAGCATGTGAAAAAAACTACAAAGTTTGCTAGGCCAAAAAGACTGTTAATCGCGCGATAAAAAAATCAACGCCGTTAAAATGGGTTTGCGTTAATGCCGTTAATAACGTGTTTAACTGACAGCCCTACTTAAAACATATCTGACTGTGTTTACGTGAAGACAAAAGTCATTATTTTGTGTGTGTTTGACTGTTTAAGCAGCGAAAAAGAACTTATTTTAGTCCTGAGAGGCGGCTTTCTGTGTGCGCACTTTGGGTGTGAGCACAACATCTGCGGAAATGAGTAAAATTATGCGCAATACGCTCGATCCCACACCGAAATTCAAGCCCTGTAACAGCAACAATATTCATCCAGAGCAAATGAAACGAGTGAGTGAGGAGAGGCGGGTTTGTGTGTCGCTCGCTGTCTGAGAGATGAGAGAGCTGCTGGTATCGTGTATCTATTCTGCGGTAAATGAGTATTGGAAGCGTTTTAGATATTTCAGTATCGATATATATTGAAAAAAAAAATGTGTTTATTTTTTCAGATGCCTTTTTAAAAGACTACAATTGAAAATGTATATATTATATAGAAATTTCAACCCGCCAAAGCGGCCAGTAGGAGTGACTGCGTTACACACCACTGCTGAAATACACACACATTTGGTGGGTTTGCAGGTGTTAATGTCAAGCCCTGATCAGGACACAATGCTAATACATACAATTTAAACTATATTAAATGTAATAAGTTCATGAAATACACAGAAAAAATACTCACCAAATAAACTGAATATACAAACAGTGAAGCAGATTGTGAGTGGACGCTTGTGTTTGGTTGAGTGACTGTAGTCTGTGCCTGAAATGATCATCGCTTTCTGTAACCTTGATGACATGTCCAAAATCAATATGACAAACTAAGAAAACAGAACAAAAAGAAAAGGAAGAAAGTAACAAAACTGTACAACAAAAAAAAGAAATGAAATTTACAGAACAAAGAAAAGAGTGAAAAGAAAGACTAGTTTGAAAATAGTGGCATACGATAAAGATGAGAATAAAACAAGAATGAGAATAAGCAAAATAATAGGTTGAAACATCTGGGTTGATATCAAAATGGAAGAGGAAATGGAAGAAAGAGAGTATCAGTGAGTCTATAGAGAGGCAGAAAAGTGCAATATTCATTACATATGATAAATATTGAGGAAAACAAGTGAATATCACAATCATCCATTAAACAAACCTTATTATATGTAAGAAATGAATGGTATAATTCACCCCAAAATGACAATTCTGTCATTATTTACTCATCATTGTTCCAAACCCATATGCTGTTATTGTATGTATGCATTTATTTATTAATGTAAAATTTGAAGAATCTGTATGCCATTTTTTGACTCATGCATTATATCCCGATTGCCTTGTGTGACAAACAGACCAAAACTGGCATCATTATCCTCCAAAATCCTGCTCTCCACCATAGCTGTCACATCAAACATGGCACACTTTTTCACATCACCTCAAGTCTGAAATCAATAACATCTTCAAACACGATTGTTCTTATGACAAAATGTCATTGAGGTCAAAACTGCTGCTATATTTGAGAGCTATGGCAGAATGGGAATTTTTTCAATGAATTTAAAATGTAGTATGTTTGTCATGCAAAACTTTATTTATTTACGAATATAATTTGGACTAATTTACTGGTGCTTTATGGTGTTTTTTTGTCCTTTTTGGGGCTTGACAGATGAAATTACAATAAACTTGTTGTGAGATTCTTCAAAATGTCTTATTTTCTGAAAAAATACATACAGGGTCAGAATGTCATGAGGGTGATTAAATAATGATCGAATGTTAATTTCTGTGCCCTATTATGCGATTGTAAAGGTTTTTAGGTTTTTAAAGTCTACTACAATAGGTTTACATACATCTAAGATAAAAAAACAAACACTTTATTTAATTTCTCTGTGTCTGAAACAGTTTCCCCTCCTTTCTGACAGCCTATTGGTCAGATGGCCCGGTCGGTTGTCATTGGTCTCCTCTGCTCTGATTGGTCAGATGGTCCAGTCTGTTGTGATTGGTCTACTCTGCTCTGATTGGTCAGATGGTCCAGTCTGTTGTGATTGGTCTACTCTGCTCTGATTGGTCAGATGGTCCAGTCTGTTGGGATTGGTCTACTCTGCTCTTATTGGTCAGATGGTCCAGTCTGTTGTGATTGGTCTACTCTG